TGTTTTTATTTCTCTGTGGAGTGGAGAAGTCAGCAAACTATATATAGCCTGTGGGCCAAAATTTATACTGCCCAGGAGCTGAAATAGTGTTTATATTTTTAAATGCTTGAAAAAAAAATCAAAAGAAGATTCCATGGTGCATGAAGTTATATAAAATTGAAGTTTCAATATCCATAAATACAGCTTTCTTGGAACAGCCCTGCCCACTCATTAACATATTTTCTATGACTGCTTTCAGCTTACAACAGTGTTGAGAAGTTGTGACAGAGGCTATATGGTCCATAAAGCCTAAAATATTTACTATCTGGCCCTTTATAGAAAAAGTTTGCCAACCCCTGACCCAGAGTCTTAAGATTTATAAAGTTGGTAATAGACCTCAGAGATGTTCTAATCCAACTCTCATTTTTTTTTTTTTTTAAAGTAAGCTGTATGCCCAATGTAGGGCTCAAACTCACAACCCCAAGATCAAGAGTCGCATGCTTCACTGACTGAGCCAGCCAGATGGCCCCAACTGTCTCATTTTAAAAATGAGAAAGTGGGGGCACCTGGGTGGCTCAGTTGGTTGAGGGTCTGACTCTTGATTCAGCTCAGGTCATGATCTCATAGTTTGCAGGATCAAGCCCTGGGCTATCAGCACACAGCCTGCTTGGGATCTCTCCTCTCTGCCCCTTCCCTGCTTGCACGTGCTCTCTCTCAAAAGAAAGAAACTTAAAAAATAAACAAATAAAAATGAGAAAATGTATTCTCAGACATGATCAATAGAGTCTCTGAGGCAGGTACCTTTGACAGTGGAAAAGCCAAAATCAGAATCTGCTGTTCCTACCCCAGAGTAGGGCCCCTCCCTCAAAGCCTGCACTTAGACCCCATGAGACTGCTTGGCATTTCATGAACACATTCCAGTCCTTCTCAGTTCTGTTTCTTTGCATATGCTGTATTTCCTTCCATCTAAGATACCTTCTTCCCTCCAGAAATTATATCCATGCTTTAAGGCTTAGCTCAAATACTGAAGACTGTCTTAATCTCAACAGCTGGTTGCACTCTCTGTCCACCTACCCCCAGTAGTGCTAAGCTCTACTTCCCTGTTGGCCTATACACAGCAGGCATTTATGTAGTTCTGATCTTTTCCAAGCCTAACTAACTATAAACTGCCTAATTGCATCTTTGTATCACTTGCACATTGCCTTACAAATGGAATTCCTAGGACATAATTTAAAGAATAACTAAAAACATCAGGATACAAAAGATGCCTTCAACATCTCTATTTTATGTCTTATTAAAAAAAGGGGGTGCCTGGGTGGCTCAATCGGTTAAGTGTCCAACTCTTGATTTGGCTCAGGTCATGAGCTCACCATTGTGAGATTGAGCCCGTGTCGGGTGGGCAGGCTCCACTCCCAGCGTCCTCAAGATTCTCTCTCACCCTTCCCCTCTGCTCCTCCCCCATATTTGCTCGAACTCTCTCTCTCCAAAAAAAAAAAAAAAAAAAAAAAAAAAAGAAAGAAAGAAGAAAATACAACACCACTGAATAATGTTTTTGATGGTATTAGCTATATAGAAGAATCTACCTCACAGTCGATGAAGTATGTATACCCTAGGGAGAACTTGGATTTGTTCCAAGGAGGATCATCTAATTATGTGATTATTATTTAAGACTTGAGTATATTTATTGATTACTAGGCTTATAGAAACTTCCCTGCTAAGGTAGGAATTCACACTCTAAATTCAAATTGAACAGTGATAATCTTATACATTCTCTATCTACAGGGATTCTCTGTTGTTATATCTTCCATGTAAATTCAATTCGGGAAGGTTTCCATTTATGAACCAAATACAGACTTGTGTTGTTCTGTAATGAATCATTAGGAGTGAACTTGATATTTAGGGATGACTGAAGATAAAAGGATTGTAGTTTAGTGTATAGGTGCCTTGCCAGCATTGACTTTTGATACTTTGCTTGAAACAACATCAACAACAACAACAACAACAACAAAAAAAACTAGATAGATGAATAGACCCTCATGATAATGTAATCCTCTCAGTTCTAATTCTCTTTCTTTTCCCCAACTGCGCATAAGTTATGTAAGATGGTAGAGCCAGAACTTAACTGATGGGTTTGGTTATCTGTGGCAGCTCTTCAACATCTAGGCTTGTGGTACTTTGTATTAGTAAGTAGGTGAAACAAAAGGAAATAATGTCCCTGTGAAAGTCTTCTAATTAAACCAAGGTTGTGTCTGATCTATTAATGTTACATGAAGAGCAGTGATGAAATATAATCGCAAAAGGCACAAACACAAATAGTATAGCTGGGGATGGTTGACAACAGCTTTTTTTCTGTCTGTACATCTCGGCCAGTTTGGTCTGGATGTGCTGCAGCTGTTCTCTTATTTCACTTTTCAGCAAGTTTAGAATTGAGTCTTGCTTAGCCCATATGGAGTCGCACTAAATGTTTGTAGTCATTAAGAAGAAAAGGTAAAAACGTTAAAAACAAAAGCCTAAAGGTAAAACTTGGGGGTTTTATTTAGTTTAGGTACCATTAAACAAATCTTTTTTATGGGCATTTGAAGTGAGCAGCCTTAACCATTTGTCATTAGTATTCCCAAACATTGGATTTGTGGTTCTGGCTGTTTATAAGAAATGTGTTTGTAGCTTGAGCTGAAATAGAGTAATTCTGCTTCTGGCCCTAATTTAATGGGTCAGAGTGTCTGTTACAGCCTGGAGCCAAATTTAATTACTAAACTGTAAAAGTGACTCTGAATGATCTCCAGTTAGCAAGCAGGATGGTTCCCAACATTAGTAAAGACACTCAAAGACATTTGTCTTTGGGTTACTATTTCAAATTTTGACCACACCTGTAATTAAAAAAAAAAAAAGTAAAAGGCTACATTATTGGTCAATCCTGGTTCAATTTTAAAAGCTAATTGAGGCCAGGTTGACTCAGCTGATCATTCCTAAGCAAGTAACAGTTATGGAGCTGAAGCAGCTTTATCCCTAGTGAGCCTGACCTGTCCTTGCTGTGGAAACCTTCCAGCTTCTGGGAAGGAAAATCAGAACAATTGGATATGAGTTGATTAGACTGCAGCCTGGTGGTTTATATATACCCATTGTGGGCTTGAAGTCTTTCTTATCCTTGCCGTCTGATAGCTCCATAGAATTATAGAATCATGTGATGTAACAGCAGGAAACATTCCATATCATTGAATCCTTTTCCCTCATTACACACACACATACACACATGCACACACACCTACACACACATACACACACAAACACAGTAGAGTGGCTTATTTTATTTGTATTTTTTAAGATTTTGTTTTTAGGCAATCTCTACACCCAACATGGAGGTTCAAACTTACAACCCCTAAGTCAAGAGTCACATTCTCTACTGACTGAGCCAGCCAGGCACCCCTGAGAGTGGTTTAGAATTGGAGCATGGGTGTGCTGAAGTCAACACCAGTATCTGAGTAATTTTAGGCAGATCAAGGAACCTAT